GCGTGGGAAAATACGGTCACAGACCCTCATGCGTTTATTTTGCACGCCACTGTAGAGTGCACCAGGCGTCAACCAGCGTTGGCCCCGCGCGCGCCTCACGCGCTCGGAGTTAAAGCCGTAAACGATCACTTCAGGTGTCCCGCAGTGGCATGTAGACTCGGCAGTATGCAGTGCTACGTGAATGGCATATTTGCTAACGCTGCCTCTGTACAAGTGTGGCCAATATAGTATCAAAATATACACTGCCAGCCTGCCAAACGCATCAGTGATGCCCCTATTCAAAACGCGGGAAAGAGTTACCAGAAGCGCCGGCCTTGGTTCCGCCGCGAGCGCGTCGCGTCGCGCCGAGTCAACCTCGTCTGCACCACGATGAGAGGCTTCTCCACCGACGTCGAGAAGTACTCTCGCGGCGCGGCGGACGACGAGCAAACCACGCTTCTCGAGAACGCGTCGGCCGAAACCCCGCGTCCAGCACGAACATACTCGCTCTTCCACCTCTTGACCGCATTCGGAACGGGCGTTGGAGTCTGTCTACTCGCTCAACTCGCCTGCGGCCTGGGAAAGCACGGACGCGATGCATTCGATATATACGGTGCACCGAACGCGGGATCTACCGAAGTGCACAACTGGCCGCCAGCCGCGCCTACCAACACGAACCCCGTGCTGTTCCCGACCAACGTCGGCCACGCCGGCGCAACGCCCACAGGCGCCGAGCCCGCTTTGATCGCCACGGCCCCATCATACCCAATCCAAACCCACGCGCCACACCTGGTCGCACCGCCGCGTTTGCACGCCGGACAGAAGGCGCCCGCCGACTTTGACCTGCTGAAGAAGTGGGGCAACCTCTCGCCGTGGTACAGCGTACCGCAGGGCGCCTTTGGGATAGACGCCAGCCCGGAAGTACCCGATACGTGCAAGGTGACGGGATTACATTTTGTGCATCGGCATGGGGCGCGGTATCCGACCTCGTGGGGTACGCGCGCATTCGTGTCCGATTGAGTGATTGGTTTGCTGAATTGGGCGCGTAGCGGCGTATGGCGGGCCGTCGTTCTTGGCGCAACGTCTGCATGAGACTACGGATGAGTGGGACGCGGAGGGTGAACTCGAGTTCCTCAACAACTGGTATGCATACATATTGCTACTCTACGGTTCACTCAGCCTGACGCGTCATGGCAGGACATACAAACTCGGGGAAGAGGGTCCGTACCAGTTCTGTCAGTCGGTTCGTGGACTGACCACGCTCACGAGCAGTTCTTACTCCGTTTGGTCGCCAACAACTTTGTAACGTCTCACACTCGTGTTTTATCCTATATCGCTAATGGGTGCCACAGTCGACCTCGGCGTTTCCCTTCGCCTGAAGTACGGATTCCTTCTGGAGGTATGCAAAGCGTCTGCTCCACCCGAGTATGCATGTCTCACATTCTTACTAGAACTTCACCGATAGCCTTCCTGTGTACCGCACGGAGTCACAGTACGTCAGGCTCACACCGCAACCCTTGCACGCACTGACCGTTCCTCCATAGAGATCGCATGTTATACTCCGCGCTCAACTTCGCCGCCGGATTCTTTGGTATCCCGTACGAGGACAAGTACCTGCAGAGTATCACCATCGAGGATCCTGGCGTATGTCTTCGTTCTGCTCAAAGATGGCGCGATTATGCTGACGCCTCGTATAGTTCAACAACACACTGTCACCCTACAAGACCTGCACCAACACCGCTGATCGGAGCAAGTCGGACCGCGGAACACCGCTCGTCAAGAAGTGGGCCGAGGTCTACCTCGTTGAAGCTCAGAAGCGTCTGCAGGCGCATATCAAAGGCTACAATCTGACCGTCGAAGATGTCTACACCATGCAGCAGATGTGCGCATACGAGGTATGGCAGGACAATCAACATTATACCACATATTTGCTGACGAGAGTCCGTAGACCGTCGCCATCGGCTACTCATCCTTCTGCCCGCTCTTCACCGTCGAAGAATGGGAAGGCTTCGACTACAGCATGGACATCTACTTCTGGTACAACTCCGCCTACGGCTCGCCCGTCGCGCGCGTGCAGGGCATCGGCTGGATCCAGGAGCTCGTCGCGCGCCTCACGCACACGCCCATCGCGGTGCACAACTCGAGTACGAACGCGACGCTGGACGATGATCCGACGACGTTCCCGCTGGATCATCCGCTGTATGTTGATGCGACGCATGAGGTTGTCGTGCTGAACAGTATGTATCGCGCACATGCAGTCGTAGGGCCATGAGCTGATGGGTGGATACAGTCATCTCTGCGCTCAACTTGACCTCATTCGCCGCGGCCGGTCCCCTCCCAACAACGCACATCCCAGCAAACAGAACCTTCCGCGTCTCCGAGCTTGCCCCCTTCGCAACGAACATGCAGTTCCAGCTCCTCTCCTGCTCCGACCGCCCCGCCGACGGCGAGCTCATCCGCATCATCATCAACGACGCCGTGGCGCCGCTGGACGGGATCGAAGGGTGCGGGGAGGATGCGCTGGGGATGTGTAGTGTCGGGAAGTTTGTGGAGGCGCAGAGGAAGATTATTGCGAAGACGGATTGGGAGTGGGCGTGTGAGGGCGAGTGGGAGGTGCCGGAGGGGTGGGAGAGCGTTACGGGGGATGCGCCGGGGGTTAGGTGGTAGCTGTTGTTGGATCATGATGTACTTACTGGGCTGCTGATGCATGTTGAATTCGAACTGGATGATGTGATGCGGGGGTAAAGAATCTGCAGGTCAAGCTGGTGTAAGCGACGTTAATGCGTTGCGAAGACGACTCGGTATTTGATCACGTCAACATGGATCGCTTTGCCTGAGTCCGTAGGAGTTCCTGTCGCTGGCAGTGCTCCATAGCACTTGTATCGCGTATGTAGGAAGAACGTTGCCCAAGATATCATACTCACCGAAATGGTAGCGGTAGGCGTGGAGGCACAACGCTCGCGCGCCACGGGCCAGCCTCAGGGACCGGCGCGGAGGCATCTGATCATGAACCTACGGATTACCTGCAAGTCCTTCGTCTCACTGATTTCTTATATTGGGACACGCCGCGAGATATGTGTTGCCATTATGTAGTGATTGTATACGAGTAATGTAAGAGTAGAGTATTCGTCAAAGTCACGTTGTGAGATACTCAGAACAGGCACGACCGTTGACCGGGTCGACCGTGCCCATCAAATAGAGAAGATGTCGAAGCTCTTGGTCACTAGCTCCACACCGCGCACTGCCTCCAACCGCCGCACCGACTCCAAGACTGTGCCCTCCTGAAGGTCCTTGCAACTGGTTTGGCCGATGCTCCCCGCCTTGATGAGGGCGACCTCCTCGGCGACGTGTATGTAAATCGCTTGGAGGCCCCCCGCCTGTCGACGCGCGTCCAATACGTCTTCCAGCGCGGGAAAGCGGTCCGGTACGGCGTGTGGTCCTTGGGAAGTGAACGATGTCAAGATCGAGAGAAGATCGAAGTCTTCGGTGTGGAGATCGATGAGACGCAGCTGAGGCAGGTGCTCAGGATTCTCTAGGAAGCGGAGACCGTGCATTGACGGGGTATAGTCCGTAACACAGAGGCGAAGACGCTCCACGTTGGGAAATGATGGTAAGTGCGCGTTGTAGTAGGAGAGCCCTGCATCGTGCAGAGTCAAGGCTCGGACACCGGTGGTGTGGAGTGGCGACAGAACGGCAGGGG